GGAGGGAGGGAGGAAAGCTTCCGAAGCATTGTCAAACGACTTGTGGGATTGGTTTAGAGAGTTACGGTTTTGGATGCCAGTACTGGGGAACAACTTAATCAACTGGTGAAATAGAGTTCACAAAGTTATCATTCTCTATACTAGTTTAGAAGTAGCACCTGGGATTTCAAATGCTACAGAAAAGCTATCTAAGAGAGAAATATTAGTTTCAGTCACATGAAGCAAAAGAGAAGGCAGGTTATAGAAAGTTCAAAGAATCTAACAGCTCACACAAACTACAGCCTTTTCTAACCAGAGAACCAGAAAAACTAGTGGCTAGCTACCACTATCAGCCATTCTAACCACAGCCACAATAAAAGGTCCCAGAAAGAATGAAAGATGTACACCCATGTTTATTGTGGCTTTGTTCACAATAGCAAAGAGTTGGAAACAACCCAAGTGCCCATCAACATAAAAAATGGATAGAGAAGCTGTGGTATATTCACACAATGGAATATTATGCTGCACTGAAAAACAAGGAACTCATGAAATATTATACAAAATGGGTGACCTTGAAGGACATTATGCTGAGTGAAATATCTCAGTCACAAAAGGACAAATACTGCATAATGCCACTGTTGTAAAATAGGATTGACAATGGGGTTGGGGAGAACTTAAGAGGGGATAAAAAATGTATACTGTATTGAAACAGATGAGCGAGAGAACTGGTTAAAAGGGACATATAATTAGGTATTATTGTCATGATAGGAGTCCAGAACGAAGGCTGCCTAGTGGAGTAGACTTAGGGGAAGGACTGTATAACAGTGAAAGAATTTTTCTTTTACTTTTCAAAGAGAAGAGCAAACCAGGGGAGAGGGGTGGGCAGGGAGAAAAGTGCAACAATGAATGAATAGAAATCCAAAATCTCTGTAAACCTTCATTAACATTAATAATAATTTTTAAAAGGGGGGGAGGGGAAGAAAGAATGGAAGACAAATGTAGATTAAAACAAGCCCAGATGTACTTGAATGATGAAAGAATTCTCAAGAATAACACCGTCTGACAACCTTAGAATATAAAATTAAAGCTATTTATCAGGTCATATTTCAGCCAAATAACAGGCTTGTAAAATAAACAGTAGCATTTGTCAGTAATGTGTTCCCTTAATCAATGAACTATAATGAGAACAAATGGCTAAAATTTAGTCTAATCAATGGATCAACCCTGAAAAGGCAAGGAAGGACGAAAAAGGGGGAAGCCAAATCAATGGAAACAGAATGAAAAGAACAAGAATACGGATACAATGTAAAAACTGTAACCAATGATACGAAACAAAACAATTAAAAATTGATAAGGAAAATTGGGTGTTTAGTTGTTCACCTAAAACACAATATAATTTTATTTTAAAAAGAAATGTGTAAGCCTTTTATTTTGGTAAATAGTCAAGTAAAACTACATTCAGACTCTCCAATGCGTTCAACTAAAAATGATCACTTTAAAAAAATAACCCACAAAACTTTCAAGAAAAAAAATTTCTTAAATTGACACAGTACTAGACTGATTATACAATTCTGCCTAAGAGAATGTCCTTTTCCTATTTTTGGTATCTTACAAAAATTTTCCTATCCTGTCAAAAATCAGTCAAGATTCATCACAAATGGTCTCCTGGATGGGTTCATTCCCACATGCTTGCATAGGCCATGAATCTGTTGCTCTGAACCCTGACACACTCCATATTCCACCATCCTTATGTTATGCAGAGTAACTTTAACTTCCATTCTGTAGCCTCTATTTTGTAAAGAACAGTGTCTAATTTCTTGTTATAAATAGAGCTTATAATATTTGCCCAAAAGAAAATATTTACTGCAAAAAAGTAAAACCATTTTGGGTACCAAATAATTTAAAAATATACTAGTTATTTATAATGGGATACTGAATATATTTGCAGACTGTTCAGAATTACAAGCTGTTACGTCTCACTTGCTAAATTTCTTCAAGTTCTTATAAAAGCAAAAATAAATTAACAAAATTAGGTCAAATATAAAGAAATCCATTCTCTATTGAAACTTCATGTGGGAGAAAATTTTGAAGGTGACTACAGGAGATTAACAATTAGAAATGAATGCAACATTATTCACAAAAGACAAAAGCTAGAAATAATCCAAGTATCCATCAACAGATACATAAATAAGCAAGCCAGGACACTGTGTGAGTACATACTATGACATGGATTAACCTGAAACCATTATTTTGAGGGAAATAGCCACACACACACACACACACACACACAATTTTAAAAAATTTGGGAGGAACAAAATCTACCTTTTCATTGTTTTGACCAATGGCTATACCTTTAAAGTTTTTATGCCAGTAATTCTGGTATATATAAAAACAGGTATGTCTCTGAGAGGGTGCAGCCAGAGTGCTCTTTGGAGGCAAGAAGGATGAGGCTTCACCTCACATACTTCGGGCACATTGCTAGGAGGGAGTATTCCTTGGAGAAACGATGCTGGGAACAGTGGAGGTCAGCAAAGGAGAGGTGGACTGACATGGTAACTGCTGCAATGGGCTCTTGTGTGTCAGTAACTATGAGGATGGTGCAGAATAGAACAGGGTTCAGATTTTTGTTAATAGGGTCACTATGAGTCGGACTCGATGGCACCTAACAACAGTAACAATTCTGGTATAAACAAATCCTAGAGCAACTACATTCAAATAATTGGATATGTATTTCCTAACTGTAATCAACACTTAATACTTCTTTCATCCATGATATTAAAAGATATTTCATTACAAAATTTAACAGAAGAATATAAACTTACTTTAGGTAGTCTAACTACATTTTATTTTAGAAAAAAAAATCAAGGTATAAACAGATTCAATTATGACTTAACCACACAAAAGTAAAAGAACTAGTTACATAATAACTTTAAAAATATTCCAGAAATACTTAAAACATACCTATCATCCAAGACAATAATAATTTCACCATGTTTAAAAGTGAGTTCATTGTCCTCCACGGCTTCAAAATCATACAAAGCTCTCACTTTCCTTGCAACCTTACTGTTTAACTGAATTTCTGCAGATGGATATAAGGACTTTGTTTCTGTGTGCTGCTGCTTCTGCTCTTGCAATGACAATTCAATAGCTAGTTTGAAAAATAAAAAGACAAGAATTTAAATTTTTTAAGAACATATCCAATGAAAAGAAATCGAGTATTTGTCCAATTAAGATCTTAAAATGTTAAATGTTAATTGTTCTTGAGAGAGGGGATAGAAAATGGAGACACAAAACCATGACATATTTTAAAAGGAAAATTTTGCTCATTCCTTTTTATCACAGCCTATTATATACAACAGCTATTATTTTTATAGGAAACAGACTGTGACATTATAATATGGGTAGTTTTCCATATAGGACAAGCTGGGAACATGTTTCTGAGCTTGACTCATAACTTTGGCAACAAAGAAAAGGTGAAATGTAATCTTTCCTAAGGTAAAATATTAATTACCTATTATTAATGATAATAGATTAAATTAATTGTGTATGACATCAATTCTTTTCCCTACTCTTCAGATCCTACTGCTTTGTATATATAAGTAACAAAATACAATCCAGTTCTATTATAATTTTTATTTCAATAAAATGTCTTGGTAAGAATAAAAAATACAAAAGTACATATTATCAATCATTTTTACCTTTAGCTATGTCTTCATCTTCTTTGTTTTTGTTCACTGATGTGCCATTCCTGGCAGCTGAGACAGTCTGTAAGAAATACGAGTAAAATGAACACAACCACCACTTTGAGAAACTACAGCTCATAATTATTTGCACAGGCTAACTTAAAAAAAAATATAACTGACTTTATTTAAAAGTTAAGTTCTTCATGGTAATTTTAAGTAACCATTTCAAAGGACATGAAATGGCCTACGTTTTACATAAGTGTCTCAGTCAGAATGTGGCACACAAAAACACTCAAATACTTCTGTAATGAATACATATAAATCTTTCCTGGTTGCATTTCCTAATTTCAGTCACCTAGGTTCTCTTCCTGCAGGTATACAGCTACACAAAAAGTGCAAACAAAAGTCAGCAACAATCACCAGAGAGAAGTGGTAACATAGAGGATAGGGACAAGAAGTGCAATTCTATGAATACAATTTAAAACCTATTTACTACTCAAGGTAGTTGCACAGTAGTGAGTCTTCAGTTACAGTTAAGAATGAAGAAAGATCGTATTTGAATTTAATGGCATCTATTAAATTAATATGTAAGACAGTTGTCCTTAGGTGCCATCAATTTGAGTATGACTCATAGCAATTCTATAAACAATAGGCCTGAATCCTGTTCTATCCTGTGCCATCCTCATCATCTCTGATATATCTGAGCCTATTGCTGCAGTCACCATGTCAATCTATCTGGTTGAGGGTCTTCCTCTTTTTTATGACCCTCTACCTTTCCAAGTATGATAATCCTTCGTAAGTTACAGCCTCTCCTAGTAACATGTCCAAAGTATGAGAGATAAAGCTCTACCATCCTTGCCTCCAAGGGGGACTCTGGCTGACATTTTGTAAGAAAGATCTCTGTTCATTCTTTTGCCAGTGTATAGTTACCTCTCTCTCCTTGATACTGAGATAGCTTCTAGTCTTTTTTCCGTTTATTTCATATTTGTACTTATACTTCAAATATTTTTTCATATGTGTATTGATATCCTTAGAAATATTATATATTTTTTTTGAACACAGGAACTATATTCCTAAACTAAAGCCTTCTGCAAGACTTGTTATTAAGTACCGTCAAGTCGTATACGACTCATAGCAACTCTATGAACCAAAGACCTGAACACTTGTTTAACTTTCATAGTTTCTCCAAGTTCACAGAGTTTTTGGAGACAAGCTATTTCTGAAGTGGATGCCACTCCTGCTTCCAAGCCTATTTTAATCAGGAAGTTCTACTAAACACAGTACACCATGGGTGACCATTATCGCATTTGACACATCAATGTCACAATGCTTAGCATCACAGCAACTATGAGTTACCTCTGTATGGAGAGACCAGTGTTATACCACTTAGCGTAGTTTTTAAAGATTGTGTATGCAGATGAACAAAACTGTCTGTCACAATTTCTGCTTGCTATAGCAAAAAAGTCTAACCTATTTCAGTCTTCTCTTCTCAGTGAGACAAGCCATTATATAGACTTAAAAAGCCTTTGGAAAAGAAAGAAAAAAAAAGATTGTGTATGGCTGATATACTTCTCAAAGTTCTTCTGGTAGCCAGAAGACATTTTTTTCAACATACAGATTGTATATTAGATATATAGCACTATATTACATAGGGAGCTCTGGTGGTATAGTCCATAGGGAGCTATGCCTATAAACCCAAAGGAGGCACCTCTCCTGAGAGTTCAAATCCACCAGCAGCTCCATGGGAGGAAGATGCGCAATCCCTTTCAGTGCATTTTACAAATTCTGAAATCAGCTAGAGAGTCAGCTATGAGTTCCAACTTCATGGCAATGAGTTTGCGTTCTGAATTGAGGTATTTAGAAAGTAGAGTAAGGAAATATACTGCAAGGAGATTTGGTGGTAGAGTCTGTAATTTGTTCTTCTGCTAACCAAAGGCTTCATCACACCAACAGTGGCCCCAAGGCAGAACAATGAGGATAAACCCAAAGGAAAGCTGCTATGAGCTGGAAATGACTTGATGGCAGTGAATATTTTTGGGTTTTGCCTAGTTTTCACATAACTTGAATATCTTCAAAACAACACAAAATGTATTTTACCTGTGAACTTGCAGAAGGAAAAGTAATTCCTTCTTCTTTCATAGATTTAATAGTTGCAGATATGAGACTAAATTGAGGATCCTTCTGAAATTCTTCTGACCATTCCACCATTAAAGATTTCAGTTTTTCACAAACTTTAGGATGGGCCTTTTAAAGTTTAAAAAAAATCAGTTAACAAAATAATAATTTAGATTATTTACCTAACAAAAAGTTAACATCAAAATTCCCTTTAATTTTATGAAAATCAATAAAAGTCTTTTGTTAATCATTAGGTAGGAAAGAATAAGTGATAGATGTCTATTTACATGTCAAACTGCTTCCTGCAAAACTAACCTGTTTGCGTATCACAGTCTAAGTTTTAGTATGATGATCATGAATATTTTATATAAAGGCTATTCCTTTTCATATAACTAAACAAAAATTTGGGGATTTTTGCCACTAGTGTTAAGAAAATAGTACTTTAAAAGCACCCTTTCCCCCCATGGGAATTAGTCCAGCAGAGCAGCTGGAGTTGCAGAAACCTGTATCTGAATCTTGGCAATGTCACTATAGCATGACATTGGCTAAGTTATTGAACTTCTAAGGCCGTTTCTTTACCTAAAAATAGGAATAATAAGATAACTTAATTCTAAGGGGTTTAAGAGCAGTAAACAAAACAGTAAAGCAGGCCCTGCACATTCCACTGGAGAACACAAGCAAACACAGATCAAAAAATTTGGAGGGGAAATTACTCCTGAAAAGAAATTAAGGGGTCAGAGTAAGCCCTCCAAGGCTAAGAGCACTGAAGTACTATTTACAAAGCATTTGCATTGTCATAGAAGTTCTGGAAGCATCATACTTAATGTGCCAGATGCTATCCAGAAGGTTAGCAGTTCAAATCTAAGGGGGACTCAAAGGAGAAAAATGGGCAGTTGCTTCTCGTCAAGATCTGCAAGCTCGGAAATCCAATGGAAGGTGGTCATAAGGTGTAATACACTTGACAGCAGTGGGTGGTAGGTTGTAATAGGCATTATAAATAATCTGGGGAAGAAACACAGGCAATCTCATGTGTATGATTTACAGCCTCAGGATCCCAGTAAAAGGGTCAACTAACAGTTGGTTCTGACTCTGACAATAAGAGTTTATGAGAGATGAATTATAGTATATGTGTTGATGTACATAGATTATATACAAATACTATGTCATTTTAAATAAAGGACTTGAACATCCAAGAATATTGATCTTAGAACCAATTCCTTAAAAATATTGAGGGGCTACTATTCATATACAATCTTTTAAAGTTGTGTCTACTTAACAATCTTCAATGAAGATGAGCTACTATCAAGTTTATGTTTTAGGGAAGACATCAGTTTTCAGTATTAGAAAATACTAAATTGTAGAAAAGGAATTTTACTTAATTTCATTTCAAACTTATCTAAAAAAAGATTTAATTTGTAATACAACTTTACAAATATGACACAGTTAACAGTGTATGTACTTAAATATCTTATTAAAATGTACCTTATTTTTTATTACAGCACGCACTTCTGTTGCAAAATCTCGGGAACATACTTCTAAGTGAAATATCTTTCCACAGTTTGCCACACAAGCCCCAAGAAGCTATTAATTAAAATAAAAATTAACATATGGATAAGGAAGTATATTTAACTTGTTGAAATAAACTTATAAAGTTTAATTCAATAACATGCTCTGTACTTACAGTTAATGCTTGCAGAGCAACGTGAGGAACTTTATGGTTTACCCTTTTCATTATGGCTTTTAAGCAATCTTTTGCTCTAAGGAAAAAAAGAAATGACGATTGCTGAGTATTTATTCAGAATTTTAGCTCAAACACTGAAAATACAAGGTTTTCTTCTACCTGTTGTTGTTGTTGTTCTTAAGTGCCACGGAATAGTAGGTGGCTCACAGTGACCCTATGAATGAAAGACCTGAACACTTGTATAACTTTCATCGTTTCTACAAGTTCATAGGGTTTCTGGAGGCAAGCTATTTCAGAAGTGGATCCCACTCCTGGTTCCAAGCTTGGAATCCAAGTGGATTCTAAGCTGGGGAGCTCTACCAAACACTGTCCACCATGGGTAACCATTATCGCATTTGACACATCAGTGTCACAGTGTTCAGCAACATAGCAACCACGAGTTACCTCACGGCAAGTGGGTAGATCAGGGCTATAAAACCTAGAAGAATGTTTGACCAAAAGCAATTAAAAACAGGTCCAAGGGTTGCAAAACCAGAGCTAAATAACTTTAAAAATAAAATCTTGAGGGGGCTCTGGTGGCCTAGTGGCAAGAAGCTGCACTGCAATCCCAGAGGTACGGGGTTCAAATCCACCAGATGCTCTGCCGGAGAAGGAGGGGCAATCTCCTCCTGTACCAGTCAGATCCGATTTGATGGTACACATACAAAAAATAATTAAATAAATAAATAAGTAAATAAATCGATAAATAAATAAAATCTTGAAAAATAGCTTTATTACAGAAATCCATTAAAATGACATTATTTCATGCCTACAGACTTTCAATCTCAAGCAATGGGCTTGAATGTGTCCAAGATTGTGAAGTTGGAACAGGTAAGACAGGACTAGATCTGCTGTCTATAGCATCTCTATGAGTTATACTCAATTCGATGGCACCTAACAACAAAAACAGACTTCTAAAAAAAATAATTTTAAAGGCTGTTGCAAAGGTTTCATATTCTAAAGTCAAGAGACAAAACATATAAAAAGATCAATCAACAAAAAATTACATAAAGTATGTTTTCATTTCATTCAGACAGACTTGGCTTCAGAGAGCAAATCTTGGAGGGAGGAAAATCTAGCAAGATAATCTTGAAAGATTCACTTATAAGCATAAATTAATGCACTTGGGAAAGGTTGAATATGTTCAAGTAAATGCTTTCCTCACTCTTCCAAACATCTAATCAATTCAGCTTAAATACCAAGTCTCCACAAAAAGTTTCCTTTTTATATGATTTTTATCATTATATTTATTTACCTATTCATTATTTAAAGGTTTTTAGAGGACCTCTAGCCTGTAAATTATTGCCTTGCTAACCAAAGGGTTATAATCCATCAGCAGTTCCTGAGGAGAAAGATGGGAAGCCTTTTCCCTTCAAAACTTGTCTCGGACAACCAACAGAGGGCCACATTACGAGCTGGAATCAACTTGATGGTGGTGAGTTTGTTTTTTGCTCCTTTATCCATTTATAATATTATGTTCACTTCCTTTATGACTAAAAAGTTTCCATACATGCTTAAATCACAGAGCAATTCTCTAGTCTATCTATGGGTTAACATATGCAAGATTTAGTTACATATGTTCATATACCTCAGGCTTTCAGGTGAACAGTTCCACTTGTTCTTTTAAGATAAAGCTTATGCCTTAAATCAAGTTGCTAGGGTTTCTTTCTTTTATCCCCCTAAAGTAAACAATAAAATCTCATTTTCCTTTCAAGAATATGTGAGGAAAAGAGGCACAGTTTATCAAGCTCTTAAACATCGAGTGGGCAAGAGTATGTATCTTACCCATTAGGAGTGCTTCCAACTTTGTCACATATGTCCATAATAAGGCCCCAATCTTCTGTAGTGTTGTACTCATTCGTGGCCTTTTCTGAAACATGAATCAAAAGGCAAAAAGTATTAAGACATGTATTGTTGTTAAGCGCCATTGAGTCATAGATGACTCATAGTGATCCTATGAACGAAAGACCTGAACACTTGTATAACTTTCATCGTTTCTCCAAGTTCATAGGGTTTCCGGAGGCAAGCTATTTCAGAAGTGGATGCCACTCCTGCTTCCAAGCTTGTTTTAATCGGGGAGCACCACCAAACACTGTCCACCATGGGTAACTGTTATTGCTTTTGACACATCAGTGTCACAGTGGTCAGCATCATCACAACCATGAATTATTACAGAATGTTAAAATACCAATTTGCATGAAACCCATATGTTCTGAGATATACCAATAAAATGTTTTCTAAATAACTAAATGAAATTATATACATTAATTATCAACAAACCTATGACACTCTAAGCTGGAATAGTGTCTTAAAAATGCACCATATAAAGAAACATTAAATAAAATCTTCATTACAGCACTGGTTTTTAATAGCTTCCAACTCATGGGGAAAGAAAAAATCCAGGACAAAATGAAAATTTTATCAAAAGAGTAAATAGGTAACTAAGTCAAGTAATTTATACAACAGAATGAGAAAACTGAGTTATAAAGAAATCAATGTACAAAAATAAAAGCTATAATGTTTAGGCTCACATCATTGGAAACGTCTTACAGAGTAACTGTGGTTTTTACTTTACTTACAGAAATATTTTATGTGTGAGAAGAAACTACTATACAGATAACTGTTGGAAATATGCAAGATCTAATAGTTAAATTTTTATTCCTTAGATGTTGGCATATCCTCATCCTATAGGATCTGTATTTCTCTGCAGAATAGGATTTCAACTCTTGCATCATACAGGGTCACTGAAATACGGAAAAAAGCAGATAGTACCGGCATCCTAAAATGACCCTGAAGTAAGTGACAAATACAGAGAATAGATGAGAAAGAACAGAAGCTTATCAGCACTCAGCCTAATGGAAAGAAAATGTGACAGCTCTTGTGTCCAGTGACAATACCGCACAGGGCAGGCAAAATAATAATGTGATGACTTCCAGAAACCTACTTCTATACTGACAGAACAGTGGCAGGACAAGGATTCTCTTGAAGAGGAATCTTTGTATACAAAGCTTTGGAGGAACTGTGGTGATATTGATGGACAATGGAATGAAAGACAAAGCACCATTCATTAAATAAAATTTAATGTTAAATAATAAAATGAACATCAAATATATTGCTTAATAAAATGATTTTTCACTGTAATAAACCCAACAATGTTTTGGTTTGGCTCATGATGCTGAGTCAAACAGCACAAAATATAATGACAACATTCACACATTTTTATTCACTTTAGTGAGATAATTTGTACTGCATACAATTTGTACCTCATACATTTAAAGTAACAACTGAATGTAGTATATTCCAAGAGTTTCATTAACTATTACCACTCTGATTTTAAATCTTACTCATCATCATCCCCCAAAGAAAACTTGAGCATATCAGCCAGTCATCCTCCAATTTTCCTGATTTTGAACCATGCAGTGTAAATCCTAAACCCCGTATCTGTGATAATAATTTCATTGCAGTACAGATTTTCTTTGTGATAGCAATGTTAGGAGGGGAGCTCTGGCTGACTACTGGGTAGAAGTTGCACTGTCAACTCAAAGGCAGTTGAGTCAAATCTTACTCTACAGGACTAAGATGGTCAATCTCACCAAGACACAATTTACAGTTCCTAGAAAATCCACGGGTCAGTTAAGAGTCATAGCACAAAACAACATTAGTATTGGGTGACTCTTAAAGCAATCTCTTTTGAGATCTAAGAGCAGATAAGGTAGCCAGCAAGAATAAAGTGGTAAGAAATTTGCCTCAGGATCAAGGAACCTAGGAACATAGAGCTGGGATGAGATAAGAACCTTTCTGCAGAGAAGCCAGAGCTGTGCCCTCACAGTCAGTACCCTGAATTCCAGCTTCTGGCCTCCTGCAGTATGAAAAAATAAATTTGTTAAAGTCAACCACTGTAGTATTTCTGTTTTAGCAGCACTAGATAACTAGTGCACAAACACACAAAGGGCTGTACACAACCAAGCTTCAACAGCAACACCATGTGGCAACAAAAGGCAATAGCAGATCTCTGCTCATTTCCTGAAGAGGAATGGACCTTTCGCCACCTTTGACAGTAAGTCTGATATACTAGAAATGGGTAAGGGAGGTCTCAAAAGGAAGTAAAAGGACTACTGATACAGGCAAGTATCTTTATATCTTGAGTTTTCAGAGGAAATCATACATATTACATATGACTTGTCAGCTTCATGCTGGATTTTGTCTCTGAAAAGATCTATGATTCTTTTTCTATCACTTGGCACACTGTGTTTACAACCACATAGAGAAAAAAATTCACATAATCTCTTTTGTGTTCCTTTTTCTCATTTATCTTGAATTCCATTTGGCACATGGTGTTGGGCAAGCAGAGAGAAGTATTTTTACAAATTCTTGTCAACAGTTTCAGCAACTCTGAAGGAATTTATCCTTTCCTCATTGATCTGAGAAGCTAGATATATCAGTTACTAAGTTTTGTGGGAATCTTTGTAAGCACAAATACATGTACACACACATGCACACAAACACACACTCTGAGTTGACTAGTTTGGGACCATCTGATGATCTACCTGCCCTTTCTTCCAAAATTCAACATTTAAGGATTTCCCCCCAATTTTGACTAGATATGCAATTAAATGCTAAATCTATTTGAAGTCCCTAAAAATGTTTTAATAATTTTAAAAAAACCCTAAGCCGAAATCCTTTACTTTTCATAGGAAATGGAATATACTGATTTGAAAACTCTTATCTAGCATGTTTTTACTCTATAAATACAAGATGCACAATCACTCCTTTAAAAAAATTCTAAAACCTGATGACTTTATAATGGCCTGCCAAGAACGAGCTCATTTTTCAAGTGAACTATACAACAGTTAAATTATGTACTTAGGAGTATTTTAAACTCCTGGAAAATTTTAAATATTATAATTAAGAAACTATTCTTTTCTAGCATGTCACTTTGCCCAGTACTGAGTCCACATCTCACATTATCCTGCGTCAACTGCATAGAGAGGAAGAGAATTGAAAGAGCCCTCCTGGGGTCTAAATGCTAAATTTTCAGGGCATTGTGGGTGTTAGTCATAATATTTCATCATCAGGTTTTTGATTACTGATTACTGTATATAGAGAGCCTCAAATAGACAATGGAATACTTAAAAAAGATTCTAACAGTATTAAAAAGAATCACTCCATTAATAATTATAATGAACAAAGAGGGCCCTACCTCTACACAATCTACTGTGTTCAAAATATAGTTTTAATAAGAATCCAAATCCACCTATGAAATTTTAATATGTTCTATCCATAATTAATAAGAATTAAAAATTTTAAAAAGTTTCCTCCTTTGCCTGGAAAACAAACTCATGGCCGGTCTTTTGCTTTCAACTATGACAGAGTATCTGGTTCCATACTTTCTATTCAACTGAAAATAAATACTTAACAGAACAGAAAATAGAGTTCACTACTTTAATGAATTGAAAACACAAAGATTTAGCACTTTAGTCCATGGTCAAGGCCTGTGTACACACACAGCGATCACCTGCTATGGGGCTAGAAGGGCCACAGAGTGCTGACAATGTTGAGTCTCCCTCCAAATCTAACCAGAGTGGAGAGACCTTAATGAGCATCCCATACACTCAGCTGAGACCCTAAAAAAGATCATACCTTAGGGGAGCTCTGGTAGCCTAGTGGCAAGGAGTTGCAACTACAATCCCAGAGGGGCACGGTTCGAATCCACCAGATGCTCTGACGGGGAAGGAGGGACAATCTCCTCCTGTACCAGTCAGATCTGATTTGATGGTACATGCACACAAAAATAATAAAATAAAATAAAAAAATTTTTAAAAAAAAAGATCATACCTTGGGAGTAAAGGTCTTTAAAAATTCAGGTCAAAACCTGTCTCCCTTGAGAATAAAACCAAGCCTGACATAATTAATGTGCAGGCTGGATTTAGAAGAGATTGTGGTACTAAGGATTTTATAGCTAATGTTAGATGGATCCTGGCAGAAAGCAGAGAATACCAGAAGAATGTCTATCTGTGCTTCACTGACTATGCAAAGGCTTTTGACTGTGTGGATCACAACAAGCTGTGGCAGACTGAGAAAAATGAGAATCCCAGAACATTTGATTGTGCTAATGTGAAACCTATACTTGGACCAAGAGGCAGTCCTCAGAACAGAGCAAGGAGACACTGCATGGTTCAAAACCAAGAAGGCGGTCCGTCAGGGATGTATCCTATCTCCATACCTTTTCAATGTGTATGCAGAACAGATCATCCAAGACGCTGGGCTGTATGAGGAGGAATGTGGCATCAGGACTGGTGGAAGAATCATCAATAACTTGCATTATGCAGATGACACAACCCTGCTTGCTGAAACTGAGGAGGACCTGAAGCACTTGCTGCACAAGGTCAAGGACTGCAGCCTCCTATATGGATTGAAGCTCAACATCAAGAAAACAAAGATTCTCACCACTGGGCCACTTGGCAGCATCAGTATGGATGGTGAAGAGATTGAGATAGTTAACAGTTTTCATTTACTTGGTTCCACAGTCAACACTCTTGGTAACAGTAGCCAGGAAATCAGGAGACGAATTGTATTGGGAAAGTCAGCTGTGAGGGTCCTCTCAAGAGTACTGAAGAGCAACAACGTCAGACTGGAGACTAAGGTGTGCCTGATCCGAGCTAAAGTCTTCGTAATTACGTGCTATGCATCAGAGAGTTGGACAGTGAATAGGGATGATACAAAGAGAATTGATGCCTTTGAGCTGTGGTGCTGGAGAAGAGTGTTGAATATACCATGGAATGCTAGGAGAACAAACAGGTTTGTCCTGGAGAAGGTGAAGCCGGAATGCTCCTTGGAGTCAAGGATTCTGAAGCTTCGTCTGACATACTT